TGAGTCCTGATGTTGAACAACAGATGTAGAAAAGAACTTTCATTCAGATAATTAATTCATTAAATTTTTCTGTTAAAAACCCATTCCAGAGTACTTAATTAGCGAGATGGTGAGTCAGCGCATTACTGATGAGACATTATTTTCCAAGCTAAAAATTATTTTTAACAGTTCTACGCAATTCCATGAGGTGGAGGTACATGAATTCATTACATTATGAATAATTTCTGGATGTTTAGTCACAAAATCATATGACTTTTCAATTAAATGGTTTTAAAACTCCCCATTTATCCTGAGAATTCATAAATTTTTCATTTTTTTCATTGGCTTTTATTTTTAATCTATTTATTGTGCAAAATGATAATTAATTCTTCAATTAATTAAATTCTGAAACTCTCACTGAAAAATTTAACTTCAAATACAATCAACTTCCCAATTAATTGATTCTTTAAATTATTGTTTAAATTTTCAGTATTTTCAGTTTTTCAGTTCCGTCTGCACTTAAAAATTTCGAATTACCAGACAATTAAAAAAAATCACCAGATTATAGTTAAAAAATTCACGTTATTTTCATTGTCATTCAAGAATAAAGTGTAACTTTCCAACAATGTTGAATCAGTCCAATTCCCGTTGACACCCACAAGCCACCGAATTCTATCCACAACTTCCGGTGGATTCTCATCTAATTTATTCGAGTCCTTGTGCCTGACAACGGACATCAGCAATTTCGCCAACTAACGAAGAGACTTATCGATGCCTACTTACGCAATTAGCCGTCATGCAACCGACTCTTTCACTTTTCCATCTCGCATCCTATTTTTTTTTTCAACTCCCCAGTTTATAATTATTTTAATACGCCAGCTTAATCCACGGTAATTATTTATCTGGATGAAATTAAGTGAGGAAACTATCCGCGTCGGATAAGACAAATTTCTAACATTTGTTTATTTAAGACTCGAGTGTTTAGGCCTGGGAAAAGCAAATAATGTTGACGTAATGATGCCAGGGCAATTCGACGATATTGGGTCGGGTTATTTATACCTATACGTGCGTCTGTTTTCTGGTACTCAATCTGAAATATGGCATGCACTAGGTTCGCTGTATATTCCTCATGCATAATAACCACGTGTGGATTACAAAACAATAGAAATAATTAAATGCGTAAGAAAAAAAATGAAAAATATTATGATTAATTCAGTAATATTCATTCTTGAGAATCAAGAATGCAAGTGAATCAGAAACATTTTCATTCTTGAAATCTCTCTCTACGACTATAAATGAACATGACGCTTTCAATTCCATTTGAACTGAATTGAACAAATCGGAAGTCGATTACTGTCGGAAAAAAATTACAGTGTAATTCGATTGAGTAATGGTAGTATGAGTTGTACTCCGTATTCTTAGTCACTCCTCGTTTATCTCGAAAAATATTGATTCAAGGGGGAAATATTAAGGGAGCTTTTTTGTAGATTATTAAATTTCGGATAAAAAAGCTCTGTTGACGTTCCGTCGTAAAATCAATTGTTCTGGGGTCAATCGATTTTTAATAAAACTATAAAACGAATCATTTCACTTTATTACTTTGGTACGGACTTGAAAAATTGGATTTTTGAATGATTACAGCCTTTTCTATAAATTATTGATAACGAAAATTAATTCCTCCAGTATTCACGTATTTCTGATTTTCAGGTGAACAACACTGAAAAACTTGGGGCGAGGTAAAAAAGAAGGCAATAACTTCTCTGAATTTCTAATCAAATGAAAACGCGATGATGACTGAAATTTAATTTACAAAATCAAACCGAAAGGTTAAAAATAATCAATAATTAATCACCACGACGAAAATACATTTTTTCTTTATTCTCAGAATGGAAATTAATGATAAATTTGGAAATTAAATTTTCAATTAAATTTGATTCCAAATAGACATGATTATGAATTGTGATGGGATTACGATTGAAAGTTCAATGAATTTCTAAAAGTTTAACCAAATTGACATTTTGAATACTACAAAACGTTAAATGTAGATCGTGTGTGTGACTCAATGCTACATACATTGCGTAGTTTAGTCGGCACTCTTACGAAATGTCAGACAGAAGCGTTAGCAGTGACTGGGTCAACTCGTAAATTGAGCTCTACCTCCTTCGTATTCTCAACGATGAAACATATTCTCTCACACTGAGTAAAAAAATTCTTCCGTCAAATAGATTCACTGGAGGAGTCATTACGATATCTCCTCATTCGTCCAATTATTTACGAATTTCGGAAAAACGATTGATAAGATTGACGCGAGAAAATATAATAAAAATATGTTTTTACGTTTTATTATTGTTGTTGTTATGTCTCACTAAATTTCATAGACGTTTTATTTTAATTAATTTTAGTACGCCCACAATAAAAATTCTTTTGCAAAATCCACAGAACCTTAGCAAAAAATTAGAAATCGGCAATAATTCCTTGAGGATGTCCTTCCTATTTAGGTTAAATTACTGATTTTTTTAGTTTTGTGATAAATTGTTTAAATGGACACGGAAAAGTTTTTTCTTGTGTTTTATATACCATTTTTTGATTTTATCTTTATTTCATGACTTTCCGCATTTTTCTAAAGTTTTTTAACTTTTTTAAAAATATAGAAACAACGCAGATAAATTATTGTACTATCCTGAGATTTTAGGAATTATTAAACAATATCCCGAAGGATGTTGGAGATCCTTTTCTTAAAAATTCACGTTTTCAAATTTTTCAGGGAAATCATCAATGAAAAAAGGTAGGGAAATGATGCACCACACCATTTAATGATTCAGAGATGTTCAAATAAAAAAATTGATTTGAAAAGGTGAATGGCTCCGATGTAACAACAAGTCTTTCCCTACGAATCCATGAAAAAATAAAATCCAAAGCAGTATGACTCAGGCCTAATTAACAACAAAGATTAACCCGATGCGTCTGTACAAATCCACCGGTGTATACAATTATTTTCTCATCGAGACGATGACTCAATGCTCCTCGAAGGTGCCATTAGTCCCGAAATTGTGATGATACGTAACAAGAAATTCACCGATATAAACACCCGTTAATGGGATTGGGAAATAAAATTCTACTTTTCCATGTAACTCAGGAGATTTGATACTACGATGACCCAAATTTACAGCTGAAACTGGTCGAAGGCCACTGGGTCACACCAAAATAGAGTGACGAGTCGTCCCCGCGCAGAAGCAAAAAAACGAAAAAAAAAAAAAAATTTTTTACTATAACATCCATTTCCAGTGTTTTAATGGAAATTGCCACGCATCCAACTGCGCACAATATCATCATCATTATGTGCACATTCTGCTCATTCCCAAGGTCAGCGCTCTATGTTGAAGTTTTCTTTGTCTCGATATTCCTCAACCCGATGGCTCTCTTTTTCCCCGAGATGCGGAAAATGGAAAATCCGGATGTCTCGTGAGAGTCATACGTTTAATTGTTTTATTTCAAGCATTTAAGAACATCCGAAAACTCTACGAATAATTTTGAAAAATAGACGCCTGATTGTCAAAGTTTATCAGTAATTAAATACGATTCCCCAGAAATTTACCAAAAACCTATCAGCAGTAAGTCTTTAACCCCTCGCTTTTCGATTTTGAAATTTTCCATTCAAAAATATATTTTTTCCACTCGTACAATACACGTCACTGCCAGAGATATCAAGTAAATGAGCAAGCATTCCTTAATTAAACATATTTATTTCGATTTGAAGGTATATTTCTTGGGGAATACTGCAGGATTTCCAGGTTCAAAAGCCAGTGCAATGATCTTTTATTCCGCCCATTCACTTTTAGTTATTAATTTTCATCCGAATGCTAGTAATTTCCGCTACTCATACCGGAAAACATAACTCCAGCCTTGACTCAACAAAGTTTAATACTTTATCAAACGAGAGAGACGTTTAATAGATTATTTATTCATTACCTCTGC